CTCAGCGAATTCCAGAGAATTCCTGAGAATTTCGTTCGTCCAGCACATACCCTGCAGTATCAAAACTGCCTCTGTTACAGCAAGCCCTGGCACCAGCGCACGCTTGATTGACATATTTTCCAGGAGAAACATGTCCAACGAGGCATGCTGCAGCGTGCGCATATCATGGAAGATGTAGTATTCTCTTATTCGAAGGTGATCGGGGGGTAATCCGGGTCGATTGCCATCGGAGCAACAGTCCACCGTAACGCTGCAGCGCAGCATGATCACACATGAAAATAGAGCAAGAATGCACGATATGGTTGGTCCCTCCGCGACAACATTGAGGGAGACAAACAGAAACCGATATTGAATCATCGCACGTAAGATCCTGCAATGATAACTAGAAATGTCAGAGTAAAGTTATTAAAGTTTACGTACATCGTGCCTCAGGAGCACTGCAAAGGATATGAGATGAGTCACGCTGGAAATCTGTCTTCCTTGATGCCTTCTATCCCACGGCACATACAAAGTGACAGTAGAGTACGGCATATCGAGATCACGCCTCAAGCAAACAGTTCCTGAGAATGAAGCATTCCGGCAATCTATGAAGAAGAGCGTGCTAATGCGCATCTGGCTTCCCGCTATATCGGCTATCGCAAGGAGATTGCGGTTGTTTCTTTCAGCGAGAGGAATGCCAACACAATTTGTTCATTGATGCGTAAGACATCATCCGCAACCCTCTCTCATCGCAGCAGGTGTTCACATTGCGAAGCGTGGGGGAAATTCAAAACGAGTGTTTTGTTGAGAGAGACTAGTCATCTACGCTAGTCGTCGTTTTTGATATGGGCCCTTGCAGCCGCTGCACTGATATGTATGGACTGACAATTTAACTCAAGAAGGCGACCGAGTGACGCCCGCGCAAAACGTGGAAGTCTAACACAGATTTCCGTTTCTCCGGTAGGGGGCTCGCTGCTCAGTAGAATTCTGCCATTCTTTCTCCAAAAGTTGAGTAAGTCGTAACAGAGATATTCTGCCAATCGACAACAAGGGACAGCTCCCTTCCGGTAGGGGATTCGACCTGCTGCTGAGTCGCTATGCATAAAATAATCCCCAAATCCATATGGAAACGCCTAATTCAAAGGATTCTGACCACTGCTGTTTCTGATATGGTCTGGTAATTAGCGGTTGTCGTGCACGAATGTACAGCCGAAAATCAAGAAGGATCAAGGGTGGTCAAGTTCTCGGATCACGCTCATGAGAAAAAGGAATAAAACAACCACAGTGAGAGATAGTGTGTTGTTCTGATGTGGTCCTTTCTTTCTTTCTTAGTGTTTCGAAGCTGAAAGTCTGCGTGCAGACCACGAGCGAAACAATTTTGCTTCTTTGAGGATGGGATAGCGAATGACCAGGACAATCAGAACAGTAATAAGGATTTAATGGCATATGCATGTAGTGGGAAAGAGTTCAGAAAGGGAGGCGGATGTGTGGGGACGAAGTCGTCCGTTGGTATGCGAAAAAAAGGAACGTAAATAATGGGCTGTTGCGGCTGTTGACAGGAATATAGAGCCGCAGCATGGCGACAGCAAGTGATGAATGGAGGAGTGGCTAGTCTTGTGGTCGAAGCTGTTTTATTAGCCGTTGGTAACGCAAACCAGTTTGGGGAATCAATATTGTGAATGGGGCGAGTGGAATACTGTAGTGTGTGGACTTGCAATCGACGAGGTGTTGGAGCAGTTATAGCAAGGATATGGTAGGAAAAGTTTTTGAACGCACTTTTGGGAATAAATATGACATGAGTACGTTGTGGTTGGGGGCCGCAACGGCGTCTCTGCAATGCAAACAGAGTGGGAAAGTGATTGCGCCCTTGAGTTGGCTGGGCTTGGAAGCCTTAAAGGATTGGTATGCCCTTCGATTCGATGTGTGCAGGTACAGTATGAGGAATAGATCGGCAGTAATGCAGTTTCATAAGGAGGCATGCTAGGGAGCAGATCAAGAAGGTCATGGATGTTCTAGTGTGAGAGGGTACGATTATGATACCTACGGTATTATGGAAGGAACTGGGAGGGAAGGATGAGAATGAGAAGGATGGTGAGCCATGAGAAGGTGACACATGCCACGGTGGAGGCGGCACGACAAAGCAGGGAGGTGATGTGCTCTACCGTAGCGTACGGTAATGGGGGCCCTTCGGTCTGAATGTTGTTGTTGAGTTGTTGGGAGTGTTTAGTAAGTACGGCACAAAGAATGGGCAATGTGTGTGCATCCTAGTGTGCTGTAGGATACGATTGGCGACTGTGCAGAGGTGTATCCCGTGGTTACAAGAAAAAGTTTTGTGTTTCCAGAAGCGCGGCATGGCAGAAGGATTTTGTGGAAATAGGGAGAGGCGCGGAGGGGGCAGAGGAGGTGATGGAGAGGGAGGGGAGGGATAGTGAATGGAAACCGACTTAAGATGATGGACATGGCAGTAGCAACGATGTGGGGAGGAGGCTGAAGAGGAGATTGAGATTGTGGTGGTCGGGATGGGGGTAGAGAAGGGTGAGAAGAATTAGAGTTTCGGAGGGGGGGAACGGGGGGCACTGAGCAGTGGAGTCCAGCTAGAGGTACGACGGGGGGCGGGTGGAGAATGTGGGCCAGCTTGTAGGCGTGACGGGGTTTCGGCCAGTGGATGGCGAGGAACGGGCGTTGGGGCGCTGTGATTGGGCTTGATGGCGGGTTGCACGTGTTTCGCAATACTGGCACGCAATCAATTTGTGATCGGCAGCACGGCCAGCTGTAAACAGTGTAATTTTCAAGGGAGATGCTTCGCAAACAGGAAGGAGCCTCAGTTTCCTTTGAGGGTCTTGTAAGGTACCTGTCTGTTCTCGCGCCCTAATCACGAAAAGCAATTAAAAACCGCAAGCTCCCTTATCGCCTCCCCGCAAATTTCCAAAAATCAGTGATCCCGACACATTACAGCGCCTCTCGTTTCGTCTTGTTTGGTCACGGTCATCACGACCGTTGTCACGCTCCCGCACATCAATCTTCCAGTGTACCGTACGTTCCTCCATAGAAAACCTCCCTCGCCAAGCCCACGTGTTAACAGTACCCGCACCGCTCCGCTAAGCCCCCCGCCCGCCGCCTCCCTCCACTCAAACTAAGTCAAAGAAAGACAAACACATGCGCTTCATTCACTGGAGCAAATTTATTTCAGCCACCTCCCCTCTTTTTGCGATTGCCACAGACTTGTCCCGCTGTATCAGCATTTCATCTAGAGCAAAGTCTGGTTTACCACCGCACCCACCACCTCAACTCCACGTCAACTCAGTCCTCAAACCCAACGCAGCAATGAAATCGACATCTCCTCTGATATCTGCACTCTGCTTTCAGATCACAACACGGAAGGTGAGAGGTGGACTTCCGCGATGGACTACAGTAATGTCATTCGATGCTTTGCGCGCTCTACATGCCATGTAAGAAAAAAAGGACAACCATAAACCCCTAATCTCTCTTCTGCTCCTCTGTACAAAACACTCCCCATACCTTACAATTCATCTCCTGTGACTTTCGAGAGCCAAATTGCAAAACCAAAAGACGACAATAAAACCCAAGTAAACAAAGAGACGAGAACGAATGCGTAGTGTCAATCACTCAACTCAATGATGTAGCATGAACAAGTAAATTCCACCATAGAGAGCCGCGATAAACTATGCAGTTGTTGCAAATCTAGTCGTTTCCGTGTACTTGGAGCCATCAACTAGGGCGCAACCTTGCATCCCGTGTTCTTTTTCTGTTTTGTTGCAGATAGCAAATAAAAGCCTCAAAGGCTCTCCCCCACTACAAACGAAGTATTTCAAGTCGTGCAGAAAGCATGTGGGCGACCTATAAGATACTGAACAGTATGGTGTTCTGAAAGGCTTTTTTAAAATTTTCGTATTTTGATTGTTTTATGGCTCTGCTGTATGGAGCTGTAAAACGCAAAAATCCGTACACGTCCCATTGGTGTCGTTGCATTAAAGTGGAAACAGTTTGAATCGTACAATGTGCCAGTTCAAAACAGTGAAGCTGTTGAGAGCACAGTTGCCCTGTTTTCAAAACTACTCTAGTGTCATACAGTTAAACCACACCTTTTTGAGGCAAGAGGAGGCACCAGTGCCAGGTCCCAGCTGCTCGAGTAGGCGGTGGCGATGGTGTTGCTGTTAATGCTACCCGTCGTTGTGGTAGAAGCTAATGGCAGAGCTACCCTTGGGTAGTGGTAGTGGCAGACCTAGTGGCAGACCTAGTGGCAGACCTACAGTACACTGCAGTAGTGCTACAGTATTGGTTATACTGGCTGCGGACGGGGACGCTAAGACGATACGGATGCCCGCGAAGATGACTTTTTCATCGGTGGGGTGAGCGAATACTGTTCTATTCCGTTACCAAAAGAATTGAGAGTGTGGCCGCAAGGGTGCTGCCTCTTGCAGGAGTTTGCATAACGGTAGAAATGGGTTTGAAGGCGCGACCGAAATGCAGAAAAGGATCACCACAACCAATGAAATGGGGCCAGGTGCCAGTTTTCCATAGTGCCGAACCGTGTTTTATAGAAAAACGAGGCAATTCAACACGGGTACGGTAACTGCTCGTCGGGCAGTGTGCAAAGTGGGCAACCGCTTTGCATGCAGGGCGCTTTGCCTCTCAAGAGAACTCAAACCTCACAAGGCTGAGCGCAGGTGATAATCGCAATTCCAAATTGTTCGGTTTCCTTGTCTGAAAACTAGACATACTGGCAGCGGCAATCAACAGGACCGCTTCATTATCCTTCCCATGTGAAGCATCATGTTGAGTCATTGTCACCATCACCACCGACGCACTTGCACGGAGGGGAGTTGCATTGGAAACCAAGGCTTTAACCCGTACAGTGCCCTCTACCGAACTAGCGAAGAAAGGGTTATAAAAATGTATTGGGCAAAGTAGAGGGCATGGGCAATTGCGGTGTGGAATCATACACCGTATGCGACGCAAATGGAACGCCACGCGGGGCACCTCTTACACCGCACAAGGTCATGTGTACGCAACGACATGGCAATATCTCTGTCGTCACTCTACCTTATCGCAGTCACGCAACCACCTACACCGCCCTTTTCCGACCTTCTCATCAAAATGGAAGCCCCAGCCATGAAGCGACAGCCCAGTATACCAGCCCACGGTACACACAGTCTTTCCCTTTAAATTCACACCCCAACCTCGCCCCCCGCCTTCGGTCCTCGCCCAACCTAACCTCACGGGCCCCTCCCCCACACGCTCCATCCCGCCACTCCCGCCTCTCCCTCCTTCCCCGCCGTCCTCGTCATTCCAGACCCTATCTTCTTTATCACCGCACCCAACGTTTTGCTTACCATCGCACAATCTTCGCCGTCCTTCCCCCGTTGCTATCATCTCAGTCTTCGATTGATCCCGCTTTCCGAAACGCCTCCTCCGTTCTGAATTATCAGCAACACGTTCTGTCAACAATCCCCGTCACCAAATACTGTACTACACGCAAAAAATCTACTCATTTCTGACGCCCTCCCCCCTACCCCCCCTACCCCCCCTCTCGCTCTCACCCGCGTCTTATTGTTCCTGTCCCTATTTCAAGCACGACAAGCAACTAACCGTGGCACCCAAACAAGAACAACAACTCGGCAACACCTTAATGTCGCACTCCCATGCCAGATACCATCACTCTTCTTCTGCTCCCGCGTCTGGTTCCTCACATCATCACCAACCGTCCGCAGCCCACTACTACCCTCATGAGGACCCGTCACCGGAACCTCGTCGTCGTCGCGGCCGACAAGCTCGCCCAACCAACCTCACTGCCAAGATGCGTGCCGCCGTCGAGGCGTTTTGCATGTCGGTCGGACGCCCTAACGTCGTCGACCCGGCTGGATTTCGTGACTTTCGTGGGTGGTTAGCGGAACTCAACGTCCGCGAACACAGGCCTCATTGGGAGGAGCTCATTTCGAGGATTGCGCGAGAGGTCAAGTGCGACTCTACCGAGTTCGGCAAGCTCAAAGAAGATATCGTCAGGGAGATCATAAAGAACGTCGTCGTACCGCGTGACCAAGAGAGCTCCAAACTCGTCAGCACAAACGCGGGCAGGCAATCGGGCCGACCGAAGAGTGGTACCACTCTTATGTTACTCTTGGACCAGCATTTTGAGAGGAATGAGAAAAGGCTTCATGAGCTCGTCAGCCTGTACCCACCCAGCGCTGCGACCTCTTCATTGAACGCAGGTGCATCGCACGAAGTTCGTCGTCCCTCTTCGCACCACGTCCAAAAGCAGCCGCACCATCGCAGCTCACAAAGTGGAAATCCCCGTTTCAGACATAGTACTTTGCCGGTCCAACACAACCGATTGAGGCCCATGGGGATTGAGAAGACTCGGCATCCTGATGAACGTCTCCCGTCGTTTAAGGAGTTAACCTCGAGCATCCCAATGTCTATGCACCACCAGCGCTCAAGTTCGTCGAGACACACATGATTGCGCCTTTTACTTCGGTACGCACCTTTTATTGCTGTCATTGTTCTTATAGTATTGTAATTGAGTGGAGACGAATAATCACTGTTTTCTTTGTCCTGGACTTAGTGTCGTTTGTCCAGTGCAAGATGATAGATATTTCGCATACTGCCACATCTGGTAAGTGTATCTTGTTTCGCGGAGTAAGGACTACCGAAATTTTGACGAGGTAGAACCGTATTGTACAGTGTGACACTTGGCTATGTTTTTCATTTTGGAAAGGCGGTTACTGGAAATAAAGCGGTGCAAACTTTGCTACGTACAATCGATGATATCGTACTACAGTTTATAGGGTTTGAGTTTTGATCGCAAAGTGCAAATTCACGCGGGGTTCGATTTCTTCTTTGGGACCACGAGAAAGCGCGCATGTGCACAACGAAAAGCTTTCATCACGCTACACTTTAGGATATGATGGAGGCATATGGCAGCACGGGTTGCATAAGGCGGCAGCAAGTACATGCGCATAAGGGTACGTAATTGAGAATGTCAAATTCAACAAGCAATTTATTTTGAATTGTCTGTTGCAAACAGAGGCGTTTAAAAGGCACTGCAACGGGTCATACAAGTTGTCGTAAGGCACAGCACCGATATTTTGCTCAAGTAAAGTTACTTGTATCCAAAGTACGGGTCGAGAGAAACAGAGGTGTTGCTGTACTGTATCTACTGTGCCATACTGTAACAGCTGGTAAGGTTTTGCGAGGATGCCGAATAAGAAGATGCCGTGCTGCCGATGTGCTACAGTGAGAAAATTCCACGGGACTTGTTTCTTGCGGAGTATGTGCGTAGAAGGGGAGTTTCCAGGAGCGTGTTTGTTGTAAAAAGCAGAGTACGGGGGAATGTTGGCGGGAAGGGCCGAAACCTTTCCTTTAGGGTTCAGAGGTCATGTCCTGGACAGGACTGTATATAGAAGTTTGTTATCAAGAGCGAAGTTTGTCCAACGTCACCGCACGGATTGCGTGAGGACAGCGGTGTAGGACAGACCTCTCAAAGGCTAAGTTTCAGTTGGTTGGTGTAGTAGAGTAGTAGAGAGAAACAAAATCGTACCGTATCTGTGGTGTTTTGGCATGCTTATTAGTGGGTACGGCAATGTAGTTTTTCTGTTTCTGTTTTTTTTTTTTGTCTGTCGTCCGAGTTCGTTCTGAGCCTCCTGAAAGCACGAGTGGTACGGCATACCACAGCACCGTGACGAATGTACAATTTCAACGCAATACCACAGACGGAGCGAAAGTTCGAGAAGCATCTTCTGTCACATAGCGGCCGTGCACACTGTGATCTTGTTCCTGCAGCTTATTACGGGCACGAGAGTGGAGAAACGAGAGAGTGACCGCCACAGCGAGGACGTGTGTTGATGGTAAGGCTCCAAGCCAAAAATTGTGATAGCATTGCAAAAAAAAAAGTTTTATGGAGACACGCATTTATGGCTTCGTTTCTCTCCCCGTTTCGAGTTGTGAGCGTGACACTACAAACCTGTTAGGCCCGAGTTCTACACACCAGCAGACAGAGAGAAACGCAGGCCTAGTACTGGTGGGATACCAGGCCGCTTCATCACGTTCGAAGGCGTACAGTGTACTGTACAGCTATAGAATTCTGTAGTGTCGGCCGATGACATCAGTGCATGTCCCGTTCCAAGATGGCTATTGTGTGGCTCGTGGTTGGATGGGGGCGTCTACATAGACTCGGTCGCGAGAGGGGGGAGGGGGGAGCGTCCATGACAAGCAGGATAATATTTTGTGTGAGGATGGACCACTGACCGTGAAATGCGTTGTCTGTGAGCTGTAGCCTCAAAAGTGTGATCGACGCGCAAAACAAAGCCGAGTAAGAAAGGTGCACGTGTATTACGTTTCTTTTCGACAGCTTTGTCTGGGTAACAGCGTTGTTCGTTGTCGTTATGTGATGGAAACATGTGTAAGTGGGGGAATTGAAAGAATGGGCTAGGTGAGCTGAGCACCTTGTGCACCCAGCGCAGGCCAGAGCCTCCACAGACAGATGCGTGCTGGCGTCGCTGGCACTTGCACAGTACCCAAAGGGTAGGGGCACTGGAGTTAGGCTGATCAGGGGTGTTCGGCCTGTAGGAGACCCGCTGTTTCGTGGTGTTTGAAGGCCGTGACGATGGCGGACAAGAGCTTGTATCCAAGGGGGGCTTGCCCAAAAACCGCAATTCCTTGCCTTACATAAGAAGGAAAAAGTAGAAACTGTACAGTACACATGTGCTCAATTGCCAGCGCACGTCATGGGAGGCAGGAAACACCCCCCGCTCCTCCCAATCACCTTCCGGGCATACCAATCAAGTCACGCCACATCCCTTCTGCGATATTCATTACCCTCTGCTTCTGTCAGGTGGCATATGCGCCCGTCCATCGTCCAGAAGCACAGAGCTGGAGTGAGAGCCAAAGCCAGACCAGAAGCTAAAGCCAGACCTGAAGCCAGAGCCAGAGAAAGAGCCAGAGCCGGAGCCAGAGCCACTCAGCGTCCTGTTGCTTGTGCCAGCAGGGTGTGGTGCAGGCACCTGGCGCTGTACCTGGCACCAGCTGTACGTGGCACCAGGCGCTGTAGCACCACAGTAGCTGCCAGATGCTACAAAACGGGGCATGTTAAGACACACCCTGAGGGTGTGTCTTAACATGCCCCGTTTTGCTGCGGTTGGCTTTGCTTTGCCCAAAGAAGTGATTTGGCGTGCTATGAGTGGCTCCTACGTTTTAATTTATGTGTTTAAGAAAAGCAAGGGCTTAAGAAGCATACGGTATTTGTTAAGAATTTAAAAGTATTCCTGGCAAAACCGGGCAAGGCAATGCAAAACCAGCCTGTTAAGACACGCCCTCAGGGCGTGTCTTAACAGGCTGGTTAACAGGCTGGTTCTCATGGTTTTCATGCCGAGTGGCTGTGCAGGAGCACATACCTCGTACACGTATACAACGTGTGCTCGCACTGTCTGTTCGACACCAGACATGAGCCTCTGTGAAAGGCTTGAAAAAACCTTCTCACCTTTGCAACGGTGTTCAAGGCCGCCGTCCGACTGTCGACCACCACTTTTCTCGGCTAAGTCCCGCATGCTCGTCCCTGCAGGCGGTCCTCAACTGTGCTCCGACCCTTTCCCTACAACACGCTGCGGGTCATAGTACTCCCTCCCGTTCATCGTACTCGTCACCATGTCACGCGTTCCACCGTTTTCCATTGACTGTCAACAACTACCTTGTTCGACTTGAAAGCACAATCACTCACCAAGTCCATCATGGGTCTCATCATGGGTCTCATTCACGTCTAGTGAACTGCTTCAAATCTTCCCAAACGTAGTCAAAAATTACATGTCATTCGGCGAAATGAGCCTGCTTGTTGACGGCAAGTGGACGACTGTCGTGTATGCTTATGGTCTTACAAAAGCATTAGGCTTAGAACGAGCTGTTTTTGTAAACAGCTAATTCACACCATTATCTACGCTTTCGTACCGATTCCAACCTTTCCCAGTTTAATGCAAATATGATGAGTCGCGATGAAAACGATTCACTTTCATGGAATTTTCTATTGTACCTTCTCAGACAAGAAAGCAATTGTTTCAGTGGAAGATGCGAACTTGTAACCCATGCAACCACTGCATGCGCCTTTCTGACCCCACATTGGTCTTTTAAAAACGAAGTAAGAGGCCTGGACATACCACACGGAACCTTTTTTACTGCGAGTTTCAATCTCACCCGCCTCATATACTCGCTTCATATGCGGGCGAGTGGAACCCAAGGCTTTTAAAGCAGCCATTGTGAAGCCCGCAATCAGCCACTGGTTATTCCTCTCGCATATGTATTTCTTCAAAGAGAATAAATCTTTCAGAGTGCTGGCATGGCTACTCATTCTGTTAGGTGACTACGGCAAAAGTAGTATGTTCTGATCAAAATGCAACGAAGCTCCTTTTCAACGTAACGGCTATTGATTTCTTTCGAATACAATATTTTGCAAAAAAAACAGTTCTAACCTCGATATCTCATGTGCTCCCATACCTCGAAAATTTGTCCATGCCTTTGTTCGTACTGCCTCTTCAAGGTGGTACATCTCTGCGCCTTGGATCTCCTAATGTATGGCACGTCACCAATGTATATATTCCAAATTCCATGGGGAATGCTTTGAGAAGGGATTTGTTTTTGTCCTGTTAACAAAACACAGTCTTCCGACCCTGCCTCATAGAGAACAGTTCCAACGGCCTTTGGCCCAGCCACGCTTTCAGTTGACATAGAATGATAATATTGAAGAATGGTATCTGAGACCTATATCTGCTGCATTGTTCTGGTCGTGTAGGATTCTCCATCGCTTCCATACGTAAACACATGAGTGGTTCAATAATAGATATTATGAACTGTAGTCAATTGGAAAAGTATTGTCTAGGAGCATGCATACCTACCGCTACACTTAGACCTGCAAAAAGTATGAACGCATGGATATCCGAGGCTATATCCAGAGAGTGTATCTCCACTTAGTTCTCAGAGAGTAACGTTGGCATCTCATAGATATCGGAATCATCAACACTGTGAAGAAAATTAAACATGGCGCGAATACTGAGGTAGGCAGCACCTCCTCCTTGTTTTCGTACTTCGAGTGGGGCTTATGAGAGACTCGAACAGGTGGAAGACGAAGTGTACAGCGGGCAGATAGAACCGCTAGTATTTTTTCTTTTTGACATTCTCATTCTCAAATGCACTCTCCGCTACATACGTTCTTCTTTTGCTTCAATGTGGAATACACAGACAGTCGAGTAGGTGCCTAACTACTACTTGTAGAATAAAAAGCCATGAATAAACTAAAAACTGGTTGGCAGGCACCTCGGCGTATTCTTTGACTGAAAGGCCACTTCTCAGGTGCAAAGACCTCACCTTTTGCATGATCATGCAAGGTGATACTTTCAACTCAAGGAACAAATCTAATAGCTCCACAATAGCAACTCACAACTACTGCTCGTTCTTCGGAATCAGTGGCGGTTCGAAAAAAAAAAATCCCTAGGCAATTGAAAAGACAAGACACCCTAATTACAGTCAGAAATCATTCCACCCTTGTTCGAAACTTGATTTCGACAAAAACAAATTTGGGTTAATGTGCGGATTGAAGGGGTGACATCACCCCTACAATCCGCACATTAACCCTACGACGAAATA